GATCGCCTCATCGCTCTGGCATCATGGAGCGTGGATATGCGCAAGACTGGCCCAAGAACTTCCTCCCCAAGACCGCGTACTCTGGCCACCTAAAAACAGAAGGCGTACTTGTAGACCCTCACAACACTCCTAACAATGCTCGTTGGAATCTAGCTGATGCGCTCTCCTTCCGCATGCTGCCCCACTTCCGCCTGCCCATCGACCCCACCATCAGCAACGAAGAACGACATGCTTCGCCCGAGGTCCACGCTGAGCACACCGACGATGAAGGCCCGACGAAACTCGTCATCAGCTCAAGCAGCGGCATCGTACGCTTTACTTTCAACCGTACAGAGACATCCCAGCCCCTCGGCTGGACTCACAACGCACCGAAGCGCATTGAGTATACGGAATCCTCTCTCGAAGAGCGTTTCGATCGATCCCAGGCCCTCCATCTCAACATCCTCGCCTATAACGGAAAGGAGACCAACATCGGCAACGTTTGGAAACTCCTCGCCAGCAGATCATACATCCGCATCCCAGGCTCCGATATCCGACTCGCAAAGCGCCTGGCCTTCCCCGATGAGTCCGATACTCGTCGGTACGAATGGGCGCAGCTCCTCCATGAGAAGGGCAAGGATGGAAACCTACACCGCGCCGTTTCCATCGATCTAAGGGTCGGATGTTTATGGGATGGCGGCGTGGTGAAGTATGCAGATGGTCACACGAGTCACTGGGGACCCATGCGTACATACGGCCGTAAACACCAGTTCGGCGGTCACGCTTCCGAGAAGCTACGCCTTCCCGAGGGAGTGGAGATTAGTTCCGTCGAGGTCGTCCCTAGGGATGGTGTAAGGCTACATCTCAGCGACGGCACCAGTGCCGGCGAGCTCAACGCGAGGCGTGGCTCGGACATTGTGAGGCTGACACCCAGCCCCGATGAGATCATCGTGGGATTCTTTGGCAAGAGTCAGAGGGGAGGCTTCTGCGGCGTCGAAGAGTTCGGTGTTATCACTGTGAAGAGAGATGTGGGGATCGCAGGTTTGCCGGATAGTGTGTGGGATTTGGATGAGTTGAAGAACACGAGTGGAATGGATGGTGATGAGGATGATGGAGAGGACGAAGACCGATACGACGACGAGGATGAGGACGAAGACGAAGAGATGGACTACGACGATGATGAGTGAGCGCGTCAGTTTGAAGTTCTGAAGAGCCCACAGTGCTTCGTTATCGAGGTGAAACGAACATCGTGCTTGAGCGCCGCAGTGTGGTAATATTAGTGTACCTGTCCCAGTCTCTCCACATCTAGACGTGTAAGCGAATCGATCCACAAATCAGGCTGCCTTCCCAGGAGTGAGAGTAGACGATATGGGCCGAGATATCCATCAAGATTGCACTTGATGTATGCCCAATCATGGGCAAAGATGCGTCAATCGAAAGCCAATGTGGCCATGAATTGAGGTGCTCGGCTCAAGACCGAGTAGTCTACTTTAGCAAGCAGGCGAATCGACCCCAGATCACATGAAAAGTCAGACACATCCCCGGATTCTGCAAGGACAATCCGGCGAGCGTTCGGCTGGGTCCCGGCTTCCATGTCTCAGCGCAACGGTAGCACCACACTCGGGCACGTCCTGGAGTGCATAAGGCTGAAGAATCTGGGGTCTAGTCTTGTGCTACGTTCGCTACGTGACTAATAGTAGGTGTAGCTTTCGACGTTGATGATGATGCTGCGGTGAGAAAGCTAGTTGTGAATGCGCCTCTTATTGAGACTTCTTAGCCGCGTTAGATGGTAGCCTCCATCGAATTATTGTATGCGTTCTGAACGTACAACCGGTATCGACAGCTTGCTACGCTGGCTGGTTACTTCCACTGGTCGCATAAGATGTGCAGGAACTGGACTCTCACGATGTGGAGGTCGCGCGAATCTCGCAACAACACTACCTGAGTAGAGCATGATATGCTTTCAAGCCATGCAAATAAAACTCTGCGGCATTTGACTCAGCATGACCAAAGCAAACCTCTACAACCGCCGGCTTGGGAAAGGGGTGAGTTGAATGCAGTGACATGCGACGGAGTCATGATAGGCCTGATAAGGTTTCCCGATGGATGAAGTCTGACACGCTCGCCGCCAAGGCCGTGACCCGATGAAGGGCCGGCCCTCTCGCTATTCCCGAAACGCGTCCGCCGCCACAAAGTACCCCAAAAAAGATACTGCTAAGCTGCAGAATTTTTCTGCTGGGAACATACGGAACGGCAAAGCTACACATTCCACACGGTAATCCCGCGATAAGCATTGCCGCTTGGCCTGTCGCGCTCAAGGCGACGCGAACTGGCGGCGCCGACCCGCTCGTAGCCGACGTGATCCTGGCTCGAAAATTTCGATCATGCTACTGTCACGGTTCAACTTCTGCATCTTGCGCGGCAAAACGACTCTGTTGCCCGCCAAGTGGACCGACGATGAAAATTTGGACGGTCGACTGGCTTTCCAGAGCGTGGAGTACGCCGACGGCTAACATGATGGCTCATGGAGTCTTGCGCCATGACTCCACTTTCTGGAGTGGTGGGTAACCGTGGTTTGATTGAAATATCGTTTTCGTCCCTGGCTCTTGCGCACTTGACATCTATCGTATACATCACAGCTTCGTCGTTGTTGTTCTTACTTTGAACCTCAAGCCCCACCCCAGGGTCCCTCGCCAATACCACCACCAATATGGCATCCGCCTCTGAGGAGATCACGCCCAAGATGGACCAGCGGTCGGACAAGTCGATCCCGCACTCTTCGAGCGACGTCGAGAAGCAGGCCGCACCCCCCAAGGATGAGCTTCAGCGTAAGCTTTCATCCCGACACTTGCAGTTCGTCGCCATCGGCGGTACTGTAGGAACCGGAGTCTTCATTGCTAGCGGAGGTTCCATCGCTACTGCTGGTCCCGCTGGTGCGCTCCTGGCTTACGTTTTCGTCGGTACTCTGGTCTACTCCGTCATGCTCAGTTTGGCTGAGATGGCTACCTACCTCCCCATTTCTGGTGCATTCACACAATACGCTGCCCGCTTCGTCGACCCTTCGTTAGGATTCTCCATGGGCTGGATTTACTGGTTTTCGTGGTCCATCACCTACGCACTCGAACTCACAGCCGCTGGACTCATCATCCAATGGTGGGACTCGGATCTCAGCATCGGTATCTTCATCACCATTTTCTGGGTACCAATCACGGCCGTCAACTTTTTGCCCGTTGACATTTTCGGTGAATTCGAATTCTGGTTTGCTCTCATCAAGGTTGTTGCCCTTGTCGGTTTCTGGATATACGCCATCTGCATGAACGCTGGTGTCGGCGCACAAGGCTACATTGGCTTCCAGTACTGGAACTCTCCCGGTGCTTTCGCTCCGTACCTTGCCGAGGGCCCTGTTGCCAAGTTCGTCGGTTTCTGGGCTGTCCTCATCCAGGCTGGTTTCGCATACCAGGGTACTGAGCTCTGCGCTATTGGTGCTGGAGAGTCCGCGAACCCCCGTGTTACCATGCCCTCGGCTATCCGAAAGACCTTCTGGAGCATTTTCACGCTTTTCGTCTTCACAATCTTCTTCGTTGGCATTTTGGTCCCCTACGACAACGAGGCTCTTCAGATTGGTGACACCAACGCCGGTTCATCTCCAATGGTTATTGCTTTCCAGCTCGCTGGAGTCTCCGCTCTTCCCGATATCTTCAACGCCATCCTGCTTACCGTCGTTCTCTCGGCCGCCAGCTCCAACGTCTACTCAGGCAGCCGTATTCTTGTCGGTCTTGCGGAGGAGAAGTGTGCCCCTGCGTTCCTCAAGGCTACCACCAAGCGAGGTGTCCCATACTGGGCGACCGCAGTCACCGGCGCCATGGGTCTGCTTGCCTACATGAACCTTAGCGCCAACGGTGGAGAAGCCTTCAACTGGCTCCTCAACATCGTCTCCGTCGCAGGTTTCATCGCCTGGACTTGTGTATTGATCTGCCACATCAGCTTCATGCGCGCACTCAAGGCTCAGAACATCGACCGTGACACCCTCCCGTTTAAGTCATGGGGTGGCCGCCCACTCGCCATCTACGGTGTCACTTTCTGTGCCATCATCACCATCACCCAAGGTTTCACCGCCTTCGTCCCATGGAGCGTTGAAGACTTCTTCATTGCATACATCAGTTTGATCCTCTTCGCCGTACTTTACATCGGACACAAGCTCGTTACCAGGAGCAAGTTCATCAACCCCGCGGAAGCCGATCTTCTGAGTGGAAAGTTCGAGGACGAAGTTAGCGAGACTTGGGAAGAATCTTCCGCTAGTGGCTGGAAGAAGATGATCAACAAGTTTTTGTAAACATTGCTTCATGGCAACAAAAAGTGTTTTGGATTCTATTCGATCCGATAGCATAGCGTAGCGTTTGGGGCATAGCATTTGCACGGCGTTTTTCATTTCTAGCGTTTAGGCCGCGGCAGATACCAGTGTTAATGTTTACTCTTCATACTTCAAATCTCTTTGATCTGCACATGGTGAATTTGTTCAGGCTTATTACATTTGTTGATCTCTCAGCTCTTTGTGGCTGTGCACAGATCATCTCAGCCATATCCAACCTGTTATTCGATCAACACCGCCACACTGTGGCTATGCCTGTCTACTGAGTCGATCGCCTCTTCCATCAACTGTGTTACTCGGTGTTGATCAGACATTGAGTCCACCGATACGAGCTAATATCATCGTCACCGATGATCGTAGTCCACTGCTTGAACTTGTCGTGTCAGAAGTGGAAGCTTGCTCGCTGTATCACACATGCGGGGTGACGTAGCGGGCGCTTTAAGCTTAGCCTGCTTGAGGAAGATTGTGATGTTGCAAACTTTCATATTTCCTCATGCCGTGGTATCGAACTCCAATATTATACAACTCCGTAGAAACATGACTCCATCGCTCAATAACATGTCGTAACCGCATCAAATCCCGCTTGCCTCCTTCCCCACATTGACCGTCAACTTCCCCTGTGTCCATATAGCTCTATATATCGTTGTATCGTCTAACCCCAGAGCCTGACAACCTCCATAACGCCCAGACCCAGTGCAGTGATCTGCAGAGCGCGACTTGGTGAGAGCATGTCGGACGCCGCGCTCTCAGTGGTGTTTTTTCCACCGCTGCCCTTTCCACCCTTGCCTCCTCCCTTGCCGCCGCTGCTAGCTCGTTCTTCGAGTTGAACTTCTGGCATAACCAGGATGTCGCGTGCGGCAAGCGCTTCGCGAAATTGGGCGCGAGATCCGATGAGTGCTGGTTCAGCTACCGCGTCTGGGTTGGCGACGGGTGCTGGGCTGGCGAGCGCGACAGTCGCAAGGAGAAGAGTGGTTGCTGCTGTGAACTTCATGGTGGTGATGTTTGAGGTAGATTTGCAAGCTTGTGTTTGGAGATGGAGAGTTGTAAAGGGGGTAATGGACTCGAGGTAGGGTTTTATAGACTGATGAGTATATTAAGGGTGACTAGCTGATGTATGAGTCGCTGCAATGAGTCTTTGGTGTAACCTTGAGGCCGATTTGATGAGCTGTATGCACATGGAAAGGAGGCGCGACGCATCGCATTTATGTATTCAGGCCATAAGCGGTGTGCTTCATGAATTACGCCGTGGACGCCTTAAGGCTGTACACAGCCCTGCGCGCGCAGAGTAAGATCGCCAACACAGCCTGCTTTCAGCTTGTCGCGATTCTGGTAATGGTCTGTGACGTCGTGAGGATGTTGGACCAATTACAATCGGTATCTAGCCAGCCATGGAAAAGCGCGAGATTGGGCTGACGGCTTGGCTTTCTTGGCGGTCAGCTGAACAAGGCGTTCCGTCCCGCTCTTGGTCGCCTGCCTCGAGAGCTTGACATCCTCCAAGGACTTCCGTCATTCCTGTTTCTGTTCCAGGGCAGAAACGCAGCCAGCGACATGAGCGCAGTACTGGTAACATAAGCTTCGCTGGATTCTTTGTGCCCAATGAAGCTCGTGTCACCGTTCAACTATTCCTGGTATCTGACAGTATACATCGGCATTGCAGCATTTGGAGACAGGAGACGAGATGGGAGTACGGAGGTTTTTGAACATGATCTAGATTGTACATGGACGACTAACAGGAGACTTGTGTATGCGATCCGTATGAACCTGACAGATCATGTTTGCTTTCCGATGTGAACTGATCCTTGTCCTGGTTTGAGGGTATGTGCTGGAGGCGAACGTGTCCTGCTTCGCGTGGCTTGGACGAGGAAGAGGGAGAGTTTCGCATCGCGTTGGGGAAGAACTGCCGTGCCATTGGACGAAGAGCAGCAATGCTGACGGAGATGATTCCCAGACTGCACTCGCCTACCGACATAATGACGCACTCGACGCTCTGATCTGTATGTGTATTAGCACTCATGTTCGAGTGGAATAGCCGACATCGATGCGATTTCTGTTGGTGGCAGATATAGCAGTTCGTGCTCTGCTTGCTGCATCCGAAGACACCCTCCATCACGATCCTCAAATCGAAGGTATACTTACAGGTAACATCCAGGACGCGTAAACGATCCAAGAAGGCAATACGGACGATACCCAATATACTTGCGCTATCAAAGGTTAGCAAAATTCGATGACCTGCCGTCCACACATACCTTGCGCCTCCTGCGAGTAGCACACATAGGACGATTCGTTGCCTCTTTGGCATGTTTAGCCTCCAGATATGAGGGATAGGTAGCGCGCAAAGGAGAAGATCCGTCGCGACATTAACGGCGGAGCTGGCGTATAGATAGGTGACGTAGTCGACGCACACTGGTTCGAGAGTGAAGTCCCACGCTCCTTGAACCGGACGACATTGGAAGATGGTGACGAAAATTCCTAGGAGTACTTCAGCACATGTCACATGTCGCAAACTTGGGCTTGTCTTACCCGAAATCCATAGACCGACGATGCATACAGATATTGCGTACATCCAGATGCGGAAAGTCTTGTCGTGGATGAAACGCAGGTACGACGATATGATGGCGATCTTCGTCAACGCAATAGCAAAGGCGTAGAGTATCTGGCAGATGAAGAGGTACTGCAGCGCGTTAGTTGTGACAGCTCAACAAGCTCATTTCAAGGCACCTACCAATATACAGTCCTTCAAGGTGTCGAAGAGTGTCAACATGGGTAGGAGCCAGATGTGTCGCCCGAGGCCATATTGGGTTGCTAACATATCATCAGCTAGAATCTACACTCGAAGTATTTGCTGCTTACCAGCGATACACACTGCAGCCAGAGCAACAGTGAAGACGGCGGCGCAAATGATAAGGACTGTGATACAATCAGCTGAGACCTTTGCGATGGAGTAGGTAGGCGCGTACAGTCGTCGACAAAGATATGGCCGACGTATTTCGCTCTTGCGAAGAGGCGGAGACCAACAGTCAACACCACTAGAGCGATGAAGACTGCGCATGTTATCGTAAGACTGTTGACCTTCGAAGTATGGTCGCTGAAATCAAATTGGGTGATGTCGACTTCTATGCCACCGAAGAAGACAGGGTCCGCGTTGGGGTTGGAGTTCTGGCTTGCCATAATGCAAGGTCTCAGTGGTTTCAATGTGAAATGAAGGTAAGATCCGCAACAACCTGTGTAGAGGAGCCCGAAGGCATATGAATCCACGTAGAGGTCGGGCCGCAACCGGCGTAGTCTTACGGGGGCGAGTGGCCTGTGGGATATGCACGATGAATGCGCAATAGACCCGGTGGATCCCCTTATTATCTCTCGGTCAGCCGTTGTGTGGCGTCTTTCGTCAGGACTTTGGGCGGTATCATTAGACTCTTCCATCAGACCGGTAACCCTAACTGACGTGCGAAGCTAGCTCTTAATGCCAGAACATGCAATCCGGAACGAAAAACAACATTCCTTCCAGACCTTTGGATCTCTGGTGTTTGGTTCCAGGCGCGCAGTCGACGTATCATGGTTCTTTGCCAACCTCTGCCATTGTATGGTTCTGTGTCGCCAGATCACCTCTTTAACATGCAATTACTCAGACGATTATCGAAGGGATTCCCCATTCAAATGTCGCGCTATTGAAGAAGTGCGGGTGTGCCGCTCTGCGCTAGCTGACGGCCTCTTCGTCCCCATCACCTGCAAGGGCAGGCGCAGGCACCAATCTAGCTGATCGACCATCCAGAGGAGCCGCACCAGAGGCTATCGGATTGATAGCATGCTTGTACTCCGGAGTAGGCCACGGAAGAGACCCTGTGGCATTCATCCCGCAGAAGAAGCTGATGCAAGTGTATGGGCGCACCGCCAAAGATCGATCTTAGTCCACCGTGCTCTCGAGATGGCATAAGATCCTATGCGGTAATGATGACTACCTTGGGGATGGCTGAAAGTATAATTCATGTCGATCTAGTTTCTTCCCCCTAGGAGTTCTCGACCGGCTTTGTTCCGCGGGCACTATGATGGTAGTGATACTTTCCATGGCCCCTGCTTACTCAGACAGTAATAGCGAATCAGCAGCATCCCGAGGCATCTGTCCCTGTACATAGACCACGTGCTAATGTACTCGAAACTTTGGGTGTACCGTAAAATCTCACAGTAGATGCGTCCCGCAAAGCGATTGCGAAAGCTGCAGTCTGCAGCCCGGTCCAGAGTCCAGTCAGACGCGCGGCGTCAAAGATTTCGCTGATTCTCTTGCTTGGGCACCATTCGGTTTGTATGATCGGTTGAGAGGAGGAGCATTTGCATAGAGCGAGCGACGGCGTGCAACGCGATGGGGCGGGGAGGCTGGAGGAGACACCGCGGACGGGACGGACTCGCTTCCGATGGCGCCGACATGTGGATCACGCACGCTTCGCAGCACCGACTCGAACCATCTCCTCGCCGTCAGGTCGCTCTTTTTCCTCTAAAGAGATAGGTGTCATACATTTCATGGCAATTTGCGCGCATTTCCATGAACCCAATATCGTGAACCTAATCGGCGTGATCATAGCGATGCCTGAGACACCACGTGTTGTGCAGCGACTTGTCCATGAATGGCAAAACTTTCGACTTAGGCCCAGCATCGACAATTCCAGTTCCTGGGTCGATGTCATTAGCTCTGCATGATGTAGCGGCTGGCCCGTGAATTTTTCTTAGTTCTCAGGAGCTCCTGCATACATACATACCTACTGTGCGCAGCCCGAAGCACACCACTACACAAGGTCGCCACGCAGAAATGTTATTCATTCTATGCGCAAGACAATTCCAAACTTTGGTCGAATGGATCTGTAGCTGATGACTACGCGGCGGTGGCCTCCGCAGCTTGGCGAACTCGACAGCACGGCGGAGCCCCGATGGACGCGTCTCCCATCTTACATGGGAGCATCAAAGTCATTGGCCTATCGAGACCTAACATCAAGGCACGGAAAAGTCAGGCCTGTAGCAGGTAAGGCCAAGATGACAATTGACCGAAGTTTTCGTGAGGAGACGAGGCTGAGCCGGCGGAATCGACGCGCTATTAGGGCCGTCTGCGAATGAGCGATGGGTGCCGCGACTCTGCCGATGCTTGAACGCGAAAACATGGGTGAGGTGTCGTCGTCGATACCCATAGTCTTGGGACACTGATGTTCATATGTAAGGGGGGTGTAGCAAGTGCAACTGATTTCGAAGGTAATCCCAAAATTGGTCACTAGAAGCTCACATTATCGTACAACTGTCAACGCGCGCTCTGGCAGTCTTCTTACTATATATACATTTATCATCGTGATATCCGCCATGTCGACATCCACAGATCCGACTGTACCGCTCCCGACCGAGACAGAGAAAGACCGCAAGGACAGGGACGATGATGACGATGACGACGTGAGCTCAACTGCACCTGCTCCAACTCCAACGCCGCCAACACCTGGTCCTCCCGGGAGACCATCACCGGCCGATACATCACAATCTTCGCAAACCTCTCTTCCTTCTTCAACCTCGACGCAAGCCTCTGCTTCAGCGCCCGCAGTTCTAGAATCTGGAAATGGCGGTCTGGGCGTTGGCGTGAGCGCTGGTATCGGCGCAGCAGTCGCCGTTGCTATCATACTACTTCTACTGGGCGGCTGGTTTTGCGTGCGTCGAAGACGAGCTGGAATACGCCGGAAGAGCACCCTGTCACAAATTTCGTACGACTTGGAGAATGCGACGAAGGGGAGCGAATGTGGAGCCTTCGGGCCAGCGGAGATGGAGGCAGGGAATAATAGCGAGAAGAGCGCTTCTGAACTCGCCAGTCCTGTTGTTCCCGTGGAGGCCTTTGGTGACCGTCGGCTCTTTGCTGCAGAATTACCAGGTTCCGAAGTCCTTCCAAACGACGAAAAGAAACGAACCGGGGAGCGACTCTTTCCGGACTCGCCAATTGATGACGAAGACGACCAGTACCACGTCGATTCG